AGTTATTTTCCAGGTTAGTAAGTCATATTAGCTTATGGCCCTTCCATCTTTGCGAAAGTGCTCCGTTTAATCCGTCCCTGTTTTTAATCTTAGTTCTTTTCTGCAAGTAAGGAAGATCAAAGAGTAGAGCAGAGAGGGCTAGCTCTTAGATGTATCATGGAATCCTTATGCATTGCAATGTACATCACTGAATTGAGTAACAAGATGCAGAGGTGAGAAACCCTCTCAGGAAATTATGTAATTCATCTTTAATCATACGAGCATCGCAATAAAGTGTGGATGACTCTGTTAAACTGTCTACACACCATATAACATATAACCAATTCAGATTCAATGAAAGACAATGAGTTCAATGTCTGTTGTTTCACATATCTTCATTTGCCTATTTGTTACACTTTATAGTCTGTTATGTTGGGTAATCTGTCTAGGCCTGGTATTTTCTTCAAGAACACCGTATGATATCATATCTGCTGTTATTGTTGCTCAAGACGAGACACGCCCCATAGCTGTTTGGTTTGAACTTTGAAGTGCAACAGATATTTGGTTTCAGGCACACTGGTGGTAGAGATGGCGACTGGAGAGGCGTGTCGAGAGTGCTGGTGCTGCTCCAACGACCAAAGCATGATAGAAAACTGGTTTTTGAGGCCTCCTCTTAGGGAAAGGCTCCAATGATTAGATCATTCCCAAAAGGCCTAGCGAACAGTCAGCTTAGGTGTTGAATCACGGAGCACTTTGTTATGTTTTAGTATTTTGTGATTGTAATCACGAAGCACCTTGCAATAAAAAATTAATTTAAAAAAGAAAATTTTGATTGTGTTAGTCTTGTTCAATCTTAAGAGTTCACTAAAAACATTGCATGGAAAACATATAGACATGAACCATCATCTTGATTGTGTTAGTTTTGTTGTTCCCGTTGCAACGCGCGGGCATGAAACCAAAGCCAATCGTGCTCAATCACAGGCACCGTCATCATGTGAAAAAAATCCCTCTGGTCATCGGTCTGCCGAACCTGCCATCCCTCCTCCCCATGATCGCTTGGATTTGACTCTCGAATTGCTCGTAGTTTTCCTTCTGGTCTCGTGCCTCGCTGCACTGCCCCTCTCTATGATTTTTCTTTCCAAAAACAAAACTCTAAAAACCAAAAATAATCACAATACGTATTGGTTGTGGCGATTATCTCCTTTTCTATCCAGCGTGATTCCTTCTTTCCCCGTAGCGGACAACTCTACAAAAGCGAGGCAGATGAGGAAGCATTCAGAAACCCGCAAAGATAGTATGGAGATGCGATAGAACTTATTTGTAGATTTATTGGCGCACAAAAGAAACAGATATAGGAGATTTCTTACTACCAATATAAAATATTATCTTAGCCGCATCACTAAAAGGTCTATACAGTAGAGTTTGTGATCATGTGATGCCGCGCTCTACGTGACTATGTTAATTTCATGAACTTTGTTTTTTCTCTACAACTAAAAAGCGTCTACAGTTTTCGTGCACCCGGCTTTCACCGCGTGCCTGTGATCCGTGTCTCTCTGGCTTTCACCGCGTGCCCATGCGATCTCCGCCCCTCCCCGATTCAAATTCCCGGCACACTCTATTTCTTTCTTAAAAAAACAGCGCCCAAAAACACGGAGTGCATCTCCCATACAGCAACAAGAATCAATCGCCGAGTGCCTGCGTTCTGCGACTCGCCCGGCAAATCACCGCGCGTGCCGCGCATGGTATTCTCTCATGGACACGCGATTTTCTCGACCCAGACTGATTTTCTATCCATTTTTTAGGGTCTCCAGCTAATCAGGGTAATCATGGTGACCCAACTGGGAGACCCAGTTGCCTTTCATGTTTATCGGACGTTGAGTGATCATCGTGACCTAGGATCCCCAATTGCCTACGATGCCTCTTTTTGCACAATTAGTTGGGATCGTGGGGTGCCAGCCACTGTCGCGCCGCCGCCTCTTTTTGCCGTGATCTCCCGTCTTGTCGCCATCACCCAGACGACGAGCACAGCACGGACACCAACACGACACTGCCCCAGACACGCTGGACCTCCGCGCCAAGGCTGCCGTCGACGGCGACCCGCAGTGCACCTCGCTCGGCTCCAGCACGGTCGTCTCCAGGTACTTATCCATTCAAGTGGCAGGTTGCTGAAAGAGAGAGACATCGCCTTCTCTGTGATGTTCATCAACTATTTGTGTTCTTCTGTTCTGCTCATGTCTTTCTTAGGAGTAAGCCTGCAATTTCTGAATAGAAAAACAAATAAGCACAGAGCAATTGCTTATATGTGACTATTATGTTCCTGAAAGCCTACAATGAGTTGTGTAATTAAAACCCAAGTTGACAATGGAGATGCTGATCTGAATTTAGTATCACTTTTCTTCTTGGGACAATTCGACCTGTAGAGTTTGAGTCCAAAGGTGTGGAATGGCATGCATGATGGAATTCCTCGATCACTTATTTGTCAGTACCAACGCTAGATGCATGTGTCATCATAGAATTAAGAAGCCATTTTGACTTTGATATGATTATAGGCACGCATGCTTCTTTCCGTGTAGGTCATGAACTTTGCTTTTTGGATTAAATGTTACTTTAACGTCAATATTTAATTTCACAATATTGTTATCTTATCGTGCGATCCGTGTATTTTTAGTACATACAAAAGTTTAGTTGTCCCGTAGCCGCCGTGTGCCGTGCCGCCGTTCGGGCTGCCGTGTGCCGTGCCGCTGCTGGAACAGCCGCTTGCCTCAGATGCAATGAGCCGCCAGAGGAGCAGCACCTCGCCTCGGATGCGCCGCGCCGTCGGAGCTGCCGCTCGTCTCGGATGGGTCTAGCTCGAAGCCGCTCGCCTTAGATGCGCCTCGCTGCCGGAGCCATAGCTGCTTGCCGCGATGCCAGAGCACGGAGCAGTAGCCATCGTCGTCTAGCATGTGGCCACGCACGGGCATCAAATTTGCGGTCATGTATGCTAACAAATTAACAATGTAGGTGTTGTAGTTATTTCAGAGGCCTCACATGACGTCATCAAGATAATAGGACAGAGGCACAGAGCACGCGGACAACTTTAAATCTTTAATTGCTTGCCGATCTCCATAGAATAATAGTATATTATGTTCAGACTAACTAATGTCATCCTGTATATTTTTTATGATTTTAGTTTCTCAGTTGCCGATATGGGTTCTAGCTGTCTGGTCGCTCAAAAGAAAGAGGGTGTACGCTAACCCGCCGCCTGCAATCACCGATACACACATCTACAGGTAACTACGTTACATTTATCTTGTAATTGATTGAGGCAATCATTTTTTGTCAACATAGGTTTACTCGTGTGTTTTATCATTTTGATTGACACGGACGGGATTGTAGATGGGTTGAATTTCATGAAGTGGGAATGGAACACATATCTTCCATATGGGATGTGAGTGCCATGGTTTTTTGGAAAGGCAACGTACGACATCACCATGGTGATACATATTTACGTGTAATTTTGAAGGATGAGCAGGTGCATTTTGAGCTCATCTTTTTGGACCATGTCTAATTTTTTTCTACAGACCATTGTTATCTATCTGTTGGATCTAATATTCTTACCGAGAACCAAAATGGAAGCGGTTGCGTATGGCGACCAAACCATGAGGTTCGACCGTTTGCTTCGTGTAGGAGAATGTTATGACTTCATGAGAGTTGGCTTCGCGCCTACTCATGTTGGTCCTTTGGGCTACATCTTCCGTTTATTACGACTACTTTGTGGTTCTATCTCCACAAAGTATGGCTAATGCACCACCGAGAGAGCTATGGATTTGTCAGTGTCCTCGTACCTTTATGGAATCCGAGGATGTATACGCTCAAGCTAAGTACTTTTTTGCAGGTATACCTCGTACGCCTATATTTAAAAATACATAGTTAACTGTTCATGCTCATAATCTATCAATAACTATCGTTTGTGTTTGTAGATGTCATTGGTATAGTTGTGCATATGTCTAATATTCGAGGAAGGGATGACGTGCGGATGCGACCGTATAGATATGTGGTGCTGATGAATGAAAGGTACTTAGATTGAAAATTTTATCATTGCTCCGTGCTATCAATTTGTTATTGTTTTATGCTAATCAATTTTATAACTCGTAGGTACCACTGCATCATAATAACCGTCAAGTATACACACATATGCCGTCACTTATCGGAATGGCGGCGAGCGGCATCAGAGTTGCGCATTTTAGCTGGTCTCCATGTACAAATGAATAGAAAGAGATGTATTGTATCACTGATGTCCTCATATGTATTGACTAAATAAAGTATCAGTTATTACATTTTTTTTGCTCATGCATGATAGGCGGAGTGACCACTACTGACGATTTCAGCGAATTGGTATTCATTCCTATTTATAATCAGGCACATGATTTTCAAAGTTAGGTTCTTTTGGGGTAATTCATTGATTTAATTTATTGACTACAACACTGACCCAAAAGTTTTTTATTTATTTATAGGCCTACGCAATCATCTGCTTGTTGATGAAGCCAAACGTCGCTGAGTTCAAGAATTTGCTAAGAACACCATGTCGCATCTCATAGATTTAGAGAACTAAATAATATTGGAATTATTTGCACGCTTGTGACATACACTTTGAATAGATGATGCACATGAATTTAGTTTAATATAATAGTCATTTTGTGCTTGTTTCGTGCGACAATCATCGCTCCGTCGGTCCGCCCCTCCCCTTGCGATACCGCGCGTCGTAATCCTGTAAAAGGAAACCCCCCCTGCAATCATCGCCCGCACGTGGCTTCGCTCGCCCGCGCATGCAGTACACTCGGCACCGAGGAATCAACGCAATGGAAACGCAATCATCGTGCGAGCCCCGAGGAATCACAGTAATCACCGACAGCTTCGCCGCCGTCCCACGCAATCAACCGTAGCCTGCCCTTCCTTTTTCTCTCGCTCCTCCTTCCCGTGGCTGCCTGATACCGCTCCCAGCCCTGCGCAAACACAGTCCCGCTCCTAGCCCTGCGCAATCAGTGTCCCGCTCCCAGCCCGTCGTGTCGTGGAGGATTCCCTTCCGTGCTCCTCTGCTGCGCCTCTGTCCATGAGGAACCATGCCCGGCACGGAGTCTTGGGGACGCAACGACTACGGATGAGGCCGATCTGATCCGAGAAGCACGCGACGACCTCGCCACGACCACGACCGCGCCCTGCACGACGGATTCGCTGAGCCGAGGGTGCCGGCTGGGATGCGACGACACAGAAAAGCTCTCGCCCTCGGCTCGACCGAGTCCTTCTACCCCGCCAAGCCCCTCGACCGAACCACGGCGACACTGCAACAACTCTCCTCGGCAGCCAGATCTTCCTGCGTCGCGCACACTCTCCTGCGCGCCCATCGGTGAGTCACCATGGTGCCCAAGCCATGTTCTATTGTTGACCGGAACGCGTGATTTCCTAACTGCCACATGTGCCAATTTTACTGTCAAAACAAATAACAAGAAGGCCAGACACTTCTCGATGATGATATTTGCATGTAATGAGAAAAAAATTCAGGTGTCCAGATGAGGAACAGTGTAGGACCGTTGAACCAGAATTGTAATCCGATCGTTGAATCTTTACAAAATGAAGTGTATCGTTTTTATTGGTACAATTTTAGAAAATAATGGTAAACTCTGTTAGGTCACAGTTTCCAACTGTCATTGTTGATGTCTTGTGCAGTAAAAGCCCAGTAGGGGATCACCCCTCCTGTTTCCCTTGAAAAAAAAATCACTATCACCCTTAGCAATCAATACGAGGAACTTACTCGCTGACCCAATATGCATGCTTGTCTTTAGTTATCTTATTTTATTGTTTGTTCAGTTCAAGCTTGCATAGAGTTCAAATTAATTTATTTAGTTGTAGCCTTCGTTAAATTAGTTAACAATATTTTGGTCAAAGAAACAAGATGTTTTCTCAAGTTCAGTTTCCTTTTCAGTTACAAAAGTTTCAGACTTTGCAAGTGACTTTTCCACTTTTAAGTGATTGGTAATCAGGCATACCACTGTTGCCTGCATTTGGATTGATGTTGCCCTTGTGACATATGCAGCTCTAGCGATCACTTATTTTTATCATAGCCAACCTGCAGAATGTAGTTGGATTTTTATAAGGACCATCATTCAGCTCTTCTATTTCAGCTAAGCTTAGGAAGCAATCTGGAAAGTCTTGACAAATTGGAAGTTATAGCATCACTAAATCAGTACACCATAGGTGTTGCCTACAGAAAGCAAGGCAAGGCTTTCTAATTGAGTTAAGTGAAAGTGGTCTGGAAAATTGCCATAGTTGTTACATCTGAACTAAACAAATAGCATATAGTTAACAGTTGGAGTGAGATAAGAGGAGAATAGCATATAGTTGACAGTTTGAGTGATAAGAGGGAGACGCTTGGGCGAGGCTGGCTGAAGTTCAGTGTACCACACACTGAACTGCAGGGTCACATCTGAACACCTACCGCTCATGGTTCGGCAAATTGTAATACTTACTTAATTAATATATTTTCACTAGTTTACAAATTATCTCACAGTTCTGTCTATTGTCCACACTAATATGAATGCAAGCAGGAGAAAATATATTGTTTTTACTCCTATGTACTGTTCATGGTCCGACAATTGTAACCCGGATTGGTTTGATAGTTGATTTTCATATTGATAGATGATTTTCATATTCAAATCATTTAATCGTATGACTAGTTATTACTAATTACAAGTCTGGGTATCTCCAAATTTCAGTTAAACAGCACAGGAACAGAGATTTCAAGGTTCAGAAGAGCAGAGATTGTTGTAGGTAGCTTCGGATGCTCAACTGATCAATATACAATGATTTGTCTTACACAAACACGAAAAGCACAGAACTTTCAACATTATTTAAACGTTGGTTTTGGCTGAGAAAATGAAGAGCCAAGGAAAATCGAAATCATGCTGTTAGGAGAATGTTTGAAAGTACAACCAAAATAATTTTGTAGACAAAATATTTTGATTTCCAGTAAATCGAGTAAGCAATTGTGAACTTAAAAAAGGTTTAATTGTGCATGCTTTCAGTTCAAATCATTTGGATCAACCGTATCAAGGTTTTTTTACTAAAGTAACTGTTCTGATAATTGATGTTACCTGAATGAGAGACTAGGGCAGAAACTCTGAAACATAGTGAAACTTTCAGTAGTCACTTGGTAGGTCCTGATGATCAATCTAATATCAACATGCTTGAAGACAACAACAAGATGGAGACTGAACCCACAGATCCATTCTAGCAAGTTGCTCGATGGATCAGCGAGGAGGTAATGTTGGCCAAGCAATTCAAGGTTGTCAACCTAGTTGGTCCTTCAACCACTGCTGAACCCAAGGTAATACCACTGTGAATGATCCATCTTCTCTAATTACCTTTGAACAAGTGCATGATTCAATAACAGAAGATGAATAAAAAATGATAGACAGGTTGCATTGTTTACCATGAAACATAATGTTAATCTTAAGAAACTTATCGGTCATATGCCTGTTTTACCTAGCGTCCCTATACCAGTGTCATTAGCTCCTAAGACCACAGATTTTTCGTATGGCATGCTGATGAACTACACCAAGGGTCAAGTAGGTCATTCTACAGGTGTTGCGGGTGTAAGGAAAATGGCACCCGTCATGGGCCATTATGTGATTTTGGTGTTTGATGAACAACAAGACCATTTGAACTAACAATGTTTGCTAGTATACAAGGAATGTTCAAATGGATGCAAGGTTGGCTTTGACATAGGAAACATGGAGATCGAAGTGATCGACACCTCAAGCAAGACATTAGAAAGCTATGTTGAAGACCTAAAAGACATGCTAGAAGTCTAAGACGTACACCAAGAAGTAGAAGCCCAGACGTGAAGACTCAAACGAAATTGAAGCCGAGAAAAAGAGATGGATGAAATGGCTTTGTCTCATGATTCTAGATCTACCCGAATTGATATGATATCAGTTTAAAGATGTAGAATTCTTGATTAGCTTTCAAAAAAGTCCAAGTCCAAGATCATAAAAAATCGGAGTTTAGAGCTCAAAGTTATGACCAAAATATAATAATCCGTGGGCTGAAAACAGGACATCGGAATTTCCAATGAAGTGATTGGAATTTCCGATACACAACGGTCGGCTGACCAATGGTCAATTTCAAATGGCTTGTTTGCATGGCAGTCATCGAAAAAAATTTATGAGGGGATCAAAATTTTCAATATCTCTGAGAATGAGCTACACATTGCCAAATAGTTAGTTTTGGTGTTGGGGCTATAAATTCCCCCCTTGGCCAGCCATTTGAGGAAAGTAGGAGTTCTGGAACATACCATGGGAGTTGAGGCTCCACTCTTGTGCTCTTGCCACCATAGTGCTTAGTGAAATCACTCAATGATTAGTGTCGGTGCTTTTTGAAGTGTTTAGACTAGTTGGACCATCGTGAAAAGTGCCCGCTTTAGGTTTAGGCCTAGTGTTAGTGAGGTTTGGATACCTCTTGATCACTCGGTGCTTGCACGTACCATTGTTATACTTGGAGGGGCTTGTAGTCTTGGGAGATCACATCAACCGTGTTTACGGTATGGCAGCCCTTTGGTGTCTTTGGAGGGAACTAGACCTATGATGTTTTGGTTGGAAGCTCGATAGTGAAGATGGCGGGGAGTGGTCTAGGAGAGGCCATCTCGGAGACCCACTTGTGCATGGGGAAGGCCCGGGGCTATCAAGGAGTTAGCCAATCGGAAGCTTAGCCCTTGCAAGGGCATCCTTGTGAGAGGCTCCAACGAGGACTAGAGGAAGCATGAGCTTCTCGTTACCTCGGTAAAAGTACTAGAGCCATTGATGGGAGTTTGCATCTATATCTCATTTAAGCTTCGGCATTTATATTATGTACTTAGGTTGTGTGTCGAGCCGGAGTCTAGGAGCGCCAGAAGTCTTTGGTCGTGGATGTAGACGTGGAGGTGCGTGCATGGCATCCTCCGTGCGGATATTGTCCATCGCTTGGAGGGAGACGACCAGTGCATCGGCAGCCTCCTCGTCGGCCGCCACAGCGCCGGTGTCCTCGATAGCATCGTCGTCCATGTAGTCAGTGACCTCAAGGAAGAACAACCACTGGCACTTGTGTCCCCGGACATACTGCTGACCGCAGTTGTAGCAGAGCCACTGCCAGTGGACCTTGACCAACTCGGCCGGGTGAGACGGCAGAATGGCCGTGGGGCACGGGCAGGGCTGTGAGCAGAGGGGGCGCAGGCAGCGCATGGGCGGGTGCGGCTGGCGCACCTGTGGCGCCTGCAGTCACGCGCGGCATAGGGGGCAGCGCCAACGCTAAGAGCTGAGGAGGCCGAGTTGGGCGCTGCGCGGGTGCTGGCACGGTGGCCTCGGCGCGGCGCTCATACCCATGTGTGAGGTACATTGTTGTCTGGAGGTCACGTGGATCGCGAAGCTCGACGCGATCCTGATGTGCTCTGGAAGGCCACCAACAAATAGATCGGCCTTCTGAGCCGGCGACAAGTTGGGCGTGTGGCACAGCAGCGCGTTGAAGCGCTCTTGGTACTCCTATACCGTGGAGAGGAAGGGTAGCCATGCTAGTTCAACGAGTCTGTTGGTGCGGATGGCTGGGCCGAACTGAAGATGGCAGAGTTCCTTGAACCTCTCCCACAATGGCATGCCTTTGTCGTGCTCCAGGGCATAGTACAATGTTTGGGCTGTGCCGACGAGGTGGTAGGAAAGGAGCACAACACTGTCCGAGGCGAGGGTGCGCTTACCGCAGAAAAACTACTCGTAGTGGTTGAGCCAGTTCAGGGGTCCTCCTTGCTGTCGTAGGTGGAGAAGTCCAACTTGCTGAAGGAGGGAACGCCCAGGCCCGCGCCTGCTGCCAGGGTCATCGTAGGTGGAGAAGTCCAACTTGCTGAAGCAGGGAATGCCCAGGGCCATGCCCACGCGCGGCTACCGGGGTCGTCGGTGCAATAGGAAAGGACGGCCTCGATGGGAACGCCGATAGGTTGGGGAGCGGGGATGCCGAGTGTGGGAAGGGAATTTGGTGGATGGGCAGGGGGTGGCGCGGTGTGGTGGGCAGGGTGGCGGGTGACGCAGTGGGAGCTGACAGGGCTGCCGGGAACGCTGTCATCCCGTACCCTGGCTGGCCGTTTGGGGGCATGGTGTGTGGAGGCGAAAGGTGGCGGCTGCTGGCCCTCCCGGGATGTCAGGTGGACGGAGAGGTCTGCCAGTTGCTGTGCGATTTTGGCCAAGGCCTTGGCAGTGGTGTCGGCCGGTGGCGCTGGGGCACCAGTGGCTGCTTGTCACCATCGTTGGAACCCAACATCTCTGATACCAGATTGGAAGAGCCCAGCGTCATAGGCTCCGAAGAGCGTAGCTGTGGCGGAGGCCGG